ATAAAAAAATTGGAAAAAAAAAATCAAAAAATCAAGAAAAAATCAAAAATAAAAAATCTGAGAAAAAAAAGAAAATTGAAAAAAAAATTAAAAACCAAACGAAAACGGGTCATCTTCCTCACACCACCCCACCCCACCCCACCCCACCCAACCCCACATAATTAATTCTGAAATAATTGGTGGGCTTTGTTTCTTATAATTAAATTGGTTAATCAATTATTATTATTATCTATAGGGAATGTTTCAAATCAAGAATCGGTAGCATCTCATTTTCTAGGCCAAATAGCAATTGCCAAAATCGACTAAGCAACTTATTCTTTGCTTGAAGATAATTTCAAAACAGAAGTCAAAGATATATTTTTCTCTTTATTTTGTCCCTTAAACAAAGAATCGGTGATAGAGGAAAAAAGTCAAAAATTGTTTTCGTATAAGTATTTCATGTAGAAAAAATCAATATATATTTGAAATTTTTGCTCATGACATTGACAAATTCGACTTTTATTGCAACGTGGGACACGGGAGACTAATTTTATGGGTGGCCAATTACCATAGACATGGTTTAAGGAAATCTCGTGATTAGTGGGTACTAAAATATTAATCAATCTCATATCTGTAGACTGCATTTGTGTGTTAATTAATTTCTTAGGGCCTGTTTGACATGATTTTTGTTTTCGCTTTTACTTTCTATAAAAGAACTTTTGGAATAAGCAATTTTTATTTTTATTTGAAAACTAACTTATGGAAGAAAAAAAAGTCCTATTTTCGGAAGTGATTTTAAAACAAGTCACATTGGACCAATTTTCTCTAAAAACTCTTTTAATTGACAGAATCACTTTCATAAAATTAGTCGAACGAATTAAAAAGTAGCTTTTGATTTCAAAAGTTCCTATTGATTTTTTAAAAGTCATGTCAAATGGACCCTTAATCACTCTGCCATGATATTATGTAGTACGACTTACATGTTCAATTTAATAAGTCCGAATTCATGAATCTAATGAGTCGTAAGAGCATAGAGTAGCTACAATATGTGTTAGAATCAATCTTGTGTCCTGTGCAATGTATGAATAATGAGGTGCAATTAATCATTTGACTTAACTGTATTATTACCGGAAAACGTTAACCATCCAACTATAATCTCGGCTTTTAGTTTAATAATGCATTAACGCTAGATAAAAAGTGACCTAGTTTCCCTCTTTCTTGTTAGAGGCGTGTAATTTGTTAACAAATCCATATTTTTATAATTTTAAGTGTTTCTACTTTCTAAGAGTATTTCTAAACGACTCTCTATTTATAAAAATACATTTTATGTACAATAGAGGGAACTTTTAAATTTAGAAAGTAATTTTTTTATACACTCCAATAAGCTCTCTACCTTGATTCTTTATTTTGCGTTTTAGAGAGTCGATGCTTAAAAATAAGTTCCAAAAAATTTTCTATTTTAACTTTTTAAAGTAGAGTGTGTGTTTAAATCTCCAAATTTAGAAAGTCAAACACACTCTGTATTCTTAATGTACAATTATTGCATTTAATATATTACAAATTTCAATACTCTACAATTTAAATTTTTTAAATTACATTTGAATTAATTGATCATTAATATATATAAAAAAAATATTTAAATATTATATTTGGAGAAATTACTAAATGTTTATTGGAAAAAACAAAATAGAGAGCTTGTTGGAGTGTATACAAAAAATTACTCTTTAAATTTAGAAATACTCTTTATTATGCATAAGATACTCTTTATAAATAGAGATTTTTTCGGAAATGCTCTAAAGGTCCATTTGATTACAAAAATGGAATTTGAGTGGAAAGAAAACGAATTCCAGGAAATTGAATTACTTAGAAATTGTTTTTCTTGGAAATTGTAAATTATTGTGTTTGATTGATATATTTTTTCACGTGAAAAATGTTGAAATAAAAGTTTTTTTTGGTGTTCATTTGGCTTTATTTTACATGAAATTTGTCAATCAATTCCATGAAAAATAAATCCCTATCAAACACACCAAAGTTGGAAATTGCCACCCAAATTCCATTTTCAATGGAAATGTTTTGCTAATCAAACGGTGCCTAAAAGTAGTGTCTTCAGGAGCCCTTTGGCAAATTTTTCATTTGTTGTAGTGGAATGTTTTGAGAAAATTGTTTTAGATTAACTTTCTCTAAAAACTCTTTTAAGAGCATCTCCAAAAACTTTCTATTTTTAAAGATTATATTTTATAAATTAAAGAACATTTATAAATTTGGAGAGTATTTTTAAAAATATCTCGATAGTATTTTTTATTTTTAACATTTAATTTTGCTACTCACAATATACATTTATTATTTTTTTCCATATGATATTTTCACCAACTTCCCTACAAATTATTATATTATTTTTTTCATTCTCTTCGCATATAATATTTAGTTAGGTAAAAATATGGAGAATTAAAATTAAAATATTTTGAATGCATTTAATTATAGATAGTAAATTTGACTCCCAAATTTGAAGAACTAAAATATTAATGTACAAAATTTTTTATAGCATAATTATAAGGATTGACTTTTTAAAATAAAGAATATGTCATTTTTAAAGTGTTTCTTGGAAATGCTCTAATAAGACAAAGCAATATCAGTAAATTATTTAAATATGTTCAAAAGTAAATTTTTAGTTTCAAAAACAGTTTTTGGCTTTTCAAAAATCTACTATAAGGACTCTTCGAAATAAAATGCAATCAAACATGCATGTTCGGGGCGTCGTATTAGACTGAATATAATATTTTTTTCTTATTTAATTCTCATTCGGTGTAATTAATACCAAAATTAAATTAATCTAGTATTCTCCCATAATCATAAAAAATTAATATAATATGCGAAGTGGCCTTAGATATATTATTTATTTATCATTTTATAAATTAAGAAAAAAATATTAAAGATAAATGATCTACTAAGCTTATGTTAGGTACTGAAAACATGACATATTAATTTATTGGTAGATAACAAAGTTATTCAAATATTAAGATCCAAAACAAACTTGAATTGCATAGATTGATGAGCTATGTTATCATTGTTTAGCATAAGATGAAATTGAAACACATAATTAAATTTTCTTTAAAGTATAAAAGAATGTATTCTTTTTAATATAGTATTATATCGAATATCGTATTGGAACGATTCTTCTTAAGTACATCCCTCTTACTCATATTCCGTAATTCAATGCATTACTCTTGTTCAATAACTTTGAAAGAATGATCGTTATTGAGAACTAGTCAAGATTTATTTAGCTTTAGTATGAAAATTATGTAGAGTAAATTTCATTGGAAGTTGGGATTAAGCAAAATACTAAGTAGACTATTTTGTTTTTTTTTTAGCTTAGTATTATTTTCTTGCTGCAGAATTATATATATTTTTTATTTAAATATCTTATTCTCTCTATATTCTTTTTAAAGAAAATGTTGTTGAAGCGAAACGGGAAACCAATAGAAAATAATATATTTCGGTAGCTCTTGAGTTCATGAATAATTTTTGAATTATATATTTTGTTTATTAATAGTTCTTAAAATTCACCATAAATACTACGGTTACGCATCACGAATTATTGAACTTTAGAATATTCAATGTGATCGGCAAATTTTATATTCATAAATTGAACTTTAGAGATAAAATATTACCTTTAAAAAGTATATATTATTTATTAAATCTCAAACAAGGTATAAACACAGGCATCTTGTCTCTTTAACGACAGATTATGATTCTGCTAACATTTCATTATCACGTAATAAATTGATTACAGATTATAACTAAATTCTTTTTATGAAATGTGTGTAATAAATCCAGAAAATTGCAGCGTTGGTTTCCAATTTATGTTCTATATAGCAAGTTAGTCCCCAACATTTAAATGAAACACTTTGTCATCAATCTTAGCTACTGTTTGATTTAAATAAAAATTAAATTTTTAGTAAATTTTGATGAAAATTGATGAAATGTGAAAATTAAAAAATTAATGAAAGTTATGGATCATATGTAAAATTTATGGTTAAAACTACATTTGTGAAAAAATGTGTTTTTGTAAAAATGGGGACAAACTAAGGCTTAATTGTTAAATTATCTTAATTGGGATGATTTTTATTCAAAAGTGCATTAAAAAGTCAAATTTTATTGAAAATTGGTTTATCCGATTTCAAATATTTCCTTATACGCGGCCTTACACTCCTCTTTGAAGCCACGCATACTTTACTGTGTGTGATCCCCGTAAGACCGTGTGAAAACGATGATGTGGCATTGTCCATGAGATTAATCCATATTGTTAATGGCAAAAGCCTGGTATGTTCAACCCCCACACCCCCCTCCCGCCCTTTAATTTAACTTTTTGCTTTGCTGGCAAAGTTTTGTTGTTTTCTCCCTGTAACTAATGTGAAAAAGTGTTCTAACTTTTAGTGCCAGTGATCATGTGGATAGTGTAATAATAAATGAAAAATCTATTCATCACAAACATTAGATTTTCACCAAGAAACTGAAAGTAAAATGCACTGAACTGCTATTACTTTCTCTTGATTTATCTTTGATTAACTTTTGATATTTGCAGATTGGTAAAATTCTGTGAAAAATTCCAGATAGAAAGTTGCAATCTTTAAGGTAAAAAGGAGTGCTTTTTAGTTAAAATAATGCAATCCCATTTAAATTTTGAATTTCTGATAATCAGTCATCTTCAGGAGAAAATTATAAAACAAGTGCCAACCAAGAGGAATAGGGTAGCTTCCAGTTCTCTTAATGCTTTTCTTTTACTGTTTTGTTAATTGTTATTAAGGCATTTTCTCGTTACCTACCATCGATAACTCCATTCTTCCTTCTTTCTCCATGTCATTTATATGCAAATATATATTCATATTTATATATACGTTCCTTAGCTGAAACCACCACACACAACAATATTCATTTTGTGACTAGAATTAATTAAACTAGCCATTTAGCATTCTATGTACCTATACTCTCTTTGCAAATACAGCCCTTTCGTTGTTGTCATCTGGGTAAGGGCATTTAAGGAGTGGCGGTGTTGTAAAGCACTCACATTTGGTAATGCAGTGAAATTCTGAAAGGGAATTAGATCCAGTTTTCTATTTGAGAGAGAAAAAATAAATAAATAAATTTTGATTTTTGGGTGTTCTTCTAAGTCAAGATCTGTGCTGTTTCTTATTTGTTTCCAGGAAAATTACATGGTGATGAGGTTTTCCAGATCAGGGATTTGAAAACTGCCCTCTTGAATCCACTGCAGAAAAAAGGTAAGGACTTGATAACTTTTTGCGATATTGGGACATTTTTTTCTTGAATGGGATTATTTTATTGACTTTATTTACAGAGTGCAATTAATTATAGGTCTTTTTTCCTGTGGCTTAATTATGTGACTCAACGGTATGAGAGACGAAATAGGGTTTTTACAAATGGATCTTATATATATCTTGATGTTTTGATTCATTTAGGAGTTTGCAATGCTCATAATTATGTCTGTTTTGTTCTTTTTCACTGTTCTGGTTTTCATAATTCTTACCCACTTGTCTTTTTTTGTCCAACATTAATTAGTTGGCTTCATAGTATCTATCTCGTATAGAGTTTTGATTTCCTTTTAATAAATTGCTGATTTACAGGGGAAAAAAAAGAAGTTGCATTTATGAGTGCCATGAGCTCAAATGAATTTTGTCTCAGAACTTCTATATTGGTTTAATGAAAAACAGGTCAGAAGCGATTGAGGATTGTTGCCTTTTCCCTTATTATAGCATCAATGTCATTGCCTGATTGTTTACTTTGTAAAATGGAAGTGTTGACTCAGGTGTTCCTTGTACAAATTCTGCAGGTTGTTTGACATCCTAAAATATGGCTTCTAATCTGAATGCGGAACTCTCTAAGAATACTGTCATTTTTGGTCTCAAGGTCTGGGAAGTTATTGGGATTATTGTTGGGTTATTGATTGTGTTTATCCTCTTTGTATTGACATATTATCTTACATCACGAAAGAAATATAAAACTCAAGAAAAACTTCCCCTTAGCCAAATACCAAGCGTTTCGAAGGAAATTAAAGAAGTACGAGTGGAACAAGTATCGACTAATGAATTTGTTCCACGTGATGGGATTCTTCTCACCGTTCATGATAAATCCAGCAATAAAGAATCAGACAAGGTTTTGGTCCATCTAGGAATGCCAAAAAGAAATAATGGAGATAACAGTAGTCAATCAGGTTCATTTAATAATGTCGATAAAGATTATTATGGATCACAATCAGGTGAGGAAGGGAGTTCTGGAACATTTGGTGCATATAGATCTTATTCTTCGCATCAGATAACTGCTTCTTCTCCATTATTGGGTCTGCCAGAAGCAGCTCACTTGGGCTGGGGTCACTGGTTTACACTTAGAGATCTGGAACTTGCTACGAACAGATTTTCTAAGGAGAATGTTATTGGGGAAGGAGGATATGGCGTTGTTTATCAAGGACAGTTGATTAATGGTGCTCCAGTGGCTGTAAAAAAACTCCTCAACAACCTGTGAGTTCCAAATGTTTTCTTCTGATATTTAATGGAGATACTTAGTGGATGGTTTCTTTGTAAGTTCTCTGAGGCCAATATTTTATTTTATTTTTCCCTTCCAGGGGTCAAGCGGAGAAAGAATTTCGAGTGGAGGTCGAAGCTATTGGCCATGTACGCCACAAAAATTTGGTTCGGCTTCTTGGGTATTGTATTGAAGGAACTCATAGGTACTGTGTTATTTGGCTTTCAAATCCATCAACCTAGCTGCATATTTCACAAAAGCCAACTCCCTGAAAGATTTGTTCATTGCGAACTCATTTGTGCACGGACATGGTTTTCCATCTCAAATGGACTCAATCCACTCATCACGTGTTCCCTAATTAGCATGAGATGCTACTCCAGTTATAAACTTGAGATCTGAAAACATAAAGCCATCAAGGCTCTAAAATATTTGGGACTAGTAACCTTTCTGCTTAAAATTTCTTCAACTTATTCGTATTATTTCAGGATGCTTGTGTATGAGTTTGTCAACAATGGCAACTTAGAACAGTGGCTTCATGGGGCTATGCGCCAGCATGGAAGCCTTACGTGGGAGGCCAGGATGAAGGTTCTCCTTGGCACAGCTAAGGCGTAAGTTGGTTCATCCATGTTGTTATCCTTTAATTTTCTTTTCCAACGTTATAGATCTCACTCAATGTGATACACTTCCTGCAGCCTTGCCTACTTGCATGAAGCTATTGAACCAAAAGTGGTTCACCGAGACATAAAGTCGAGCAATATATTGATTGATGATGACTTCAATGCCAAGGTTTCTGATTTTGGTCTGGCTAAGCTACTTGGTGCTGGGACAAGTCATATCACAACTCGAGTCATGGGTACCTTTGGGTGGGTTTTCTGCTTTCCCTTTTTTCTTTCTAAGTTCTAGAGGGCCACTTGTTCTTGTTTTATCTTATTTGAGGACTGAAAGGCCAGGTTAAATGTATTTTATGTAGGACGATGTACAATTATATTTCATTTTTTCTCTTTTTTATTTCAAACAATATACAGATATGTGGCTCCTGAATATGCAAATACTGGCCTTTTGAATGAAAAGAGTGATGTCTATAGCTTTGGAGTTGTACTGTTAGAAGCAATTACTGGAAGAGATCCAGTTGACTATGGCCGCCCTGCTCAAGAGGTATTGAGTCCTTTCTCCCTCAAATCTGCTAGAAAACATGCTAATAAATTAACTTTTTAATGCTTTTGTACTGTATCTTTATTCTAGGAATTACATAGAGGCAACATTTATGATAGTAAATTTAAGATTTCATGGAACTGTTTGTATACATAAATTCTTTGTATACAAATATATACATCTTATAGTGGAAGTAGTTGGATATTATTTGAGAACGGTCAAAAAATAAGTAAACCATTAACTAAATACTCATGAATTTAGCCACCAACAATTATATCTTGGATGATAAAACAGAAATATTAAACTATTAAATGAAGTTTATGCTGGAGAAAGTATTAGGAGCTAACTTATTCATAGTATGCAACTTCATTAAATCCGTTGATACTGGAGCAGTATTCTCTTTACAGCAGATACTTGAGGCTCCTTTCAGCTACTTGATGAAGTCATGACATGATTTGTAGTTGAAAAATTGCTGAAAGAAGCCTTGAAGTTCCTTCCTTTTTTTTTTCCCCCTTAGGCAACATTTTTCCAACCCTATTTGTTCCAGTTGAATTTTAACCAAATCCTTTCCTCTTGAAAGCTATCTGGTTTTCTTACTTCAGATCATCGCCTCTGTTTTTTTGAGGCATTCCTATCTTTGGTTCCATTGAATGAAAAATGTATACTAATTGCAGGTAAATCTAGTCGATTGGCTGAAAATGATGGTTGGAAGCAGGCGTTCTGAGGAAGTGGTAGATCCATGCATGGACACAAGGCCGTCAACGAGAGCCCTCAAAAGAGCCCTATTGACTGTTTTGAGATGTGTTGATCCAGATTCCAACAAGAGGCCTAAGATGAGCCAAGTTGTCCAAATGCTTGAATCAGAAGAATATCCAATACCAAGAGAGGTCAGTCAGTTTCTAATCTTGTCCTATTGCATAATCTAGATTACATGAATTTATCTCTCATACTACTACTAGTCTTTAATGAGTTGGTACTTTTTGTACAATTGCCCGTGTTGAAGTATGTTTAAACTAAAAAAAGTTAGATGTTTTGGCTAGGTATGTGTGATTTTTATTTTAGAGATGACAAAATTTCAAAAAAAGTAAAGAGTTAGGAAGGATAATGATTCCTAGTCGGTAGAGATTAAAAGTTTAGGATGGTAAATTTGAGGAGAAAAATAGCTAATAAGTTCTAACCTGACTTACAAAATCTGGTTGTCTTCCACTTGTTCTTGAAACCTGCACAGGCACAGTGGTGTTCAGCGCTAGTCTATATGACATGATGTGGCATTAAATGATGGGTCCAATTCCCTGTAGGGATATGTGATCCATTTAATTGGACTTCATATATTGCCATGTAGACCAATGCAAAATACTAAGCCCTTGTTTCAGAATCATTATTTAGGGAAAATAGAGTTTTGAATAGTGATTTTTAGGAAATGTCTGATTAAAAAGTGGAGAAAAAATGTCGAATTTATGTGCAGAATATTTTATTGTGTCACATGCGTGGTTGAAAATGATAATGAAAATAATGATTGTTAAACAGGAGTTAAATGGCATTAGTCTAATGGAGATCATGTTTACTTTTTTTCTTTAGTGGTTTCTCACAATAATTCCTAGGTCATAGGCCTTTGCTAAGATCATAGTTTCACCCCTAGCTTTTTAGGGTAAAACAATTCTGTTAACAGCCAACAGATTGACTAAATTTGATTCTTTTTGCACTTATATTTTCTAGGATCGAAAGCACAGAAGAACTCGAGCCGGTAGTGCAGAGATGGATTCGCAGCAGAACTATGACACTGATAAAAGTGACAACCAAGATCCAAGGTCAAATACGAAAGACGTCTTTTCGTGAGGATCTTGAATCATTTGGCAAAAATTTCAATATGTAAAGTGCTATTTTCCCAAGAAGGTGCTAATCTAAAAGCTCGTGTTTGAAGAGGGTATAGTAGACATGGGAGGGAAGAAATTTATCTTTTCAAATTTATTAATTTTTCGTTTTTATTTCGCTTTTGTATCGTTATTTTTTTATATAAATATATTTTTAAAAAATAGTATTTTTCTTGTATGAAAAGTAGTAGAAATGGTGCCTTCGTGAGAAATCTGAAAACATTGGTGAGACTGTCTGTGTACAGATACCGTTGCTTTCTTTGGCTTTGATTAAATCCATTATTCACTTATTAACATCAAGAAGAAATATGAGCAGAACTGGAAACTAATTAAGGCTGTGTTTGGAAGCACGGAAATCAGGTCTGTAAATTTGAATCGATTCTTAACAAATTACGATCCCATTCTAAGGGCACAATCCTTGATGCCAAACATAGATACTTAGAATTTGACTACAAGCATCCTCACGTGTAGACCAAACTTATTTTTCTTTCCTATTTTTTTTTTTTTTTTCGTTTAAGGCCTGACCTGTAGAACTTTTCATATGGTGGCATAAGTCGATGTGCATCGAGCGCGGAAGAATATGAAAGCCATGTCAATTTGTAATCAGCTAATATATACACCTTCACAGAGTACAAACATAAAGAGTAAAAACAAGTACATAACATTCACCAATATCATCTGATAATATATATTAATATGCATAACGGAATGATAATCTTTTTCAAGAATAATTACACCAGAAAATAATAAAAATCGGTTGCCTGTTAATATACATTGCACCTAGCATATTGTTTAGCTTTAATTTCTCCCAAAAAAATTACGCTATTAAGTCGAAAAACCGCCATCTTTGTAGCCAGAAATGAGAACCAAAACCTCAAACCTAATGGTAAAGAGTCAGGGAACTCGACCTCTCTCGAGAAAATCAAACAATTATCCAATGGTTCATCATAGAACAGTCTAAAGACATGGTATCATGGACAAAATCTATGTACTAGTTTTGCAAACTTAAAATTAAAACAAAGAATAGTAAAAAAGAATCTGTTTCTAATCACAAATTTGCTGTCCCTCTAATTGAATCGAAGCTGTATCAGCAGCACTCAATTGCTGCAGCTTCTGCTTAACACGGGAGTCGGATACCTTCCCATGATGTTTCTCATATTCGTCCTTCAATTCATCCAAATGCTTGGACACCTATCATCGGCCAAAAATGTACACAAATAACCAGCGAGCATTTTTAGAAACCCCATAAAAAACGACCATAAAGTAATAGAGAAAGCGAACCTTAATAGAGTAGGCCATTGGTAATAACGTATCTGGGTTCATGGCATCTTCGGGAAAGTTGCGTAATGCATGTATGAGTTTCTCAAAAGGTAACTTAACCTGTCAAAGAAAGATTGTTAAACATGACTGTAAAGAATTCAAGCACTTAAACATGAGGCCGTAGAAACTCACCAAGTCATCATGGGTATATTTCAATAAAGCCAAACCAACTTTAAAAACAATTTTGACGCCCTAAAAGGAGAAAATTGACATATTAGAATGTACAAGACGATAGAGTGGTAAATACATAAAGATTGACAGCTAACCTCATAAAGAAAGACATCCCAAATTCGAAGGGCTAAATGGAATGGGAACGAATATGAAAAAACAGTTATGAACCACTGGCTTGCATACATGCTAGGGTTTATCATTTCTTGAGCAAAATGCTCTCCCAACTTTGGCAAGTGGTCCTTCACCAAATGATCAAACTGGAATAGGTATTGCTGTACAAGAGGCAATCCCACCTGCACCAAATGGACAGCCTTGCTCAGTGTTTTCAAACTGTGTGACAATGCATAAGATAAGAGGTAATATGTGAAAATTCATTGATTAACAATGTTTGGTAGCTATTTTGATTTGACGAAATGCACCTTGGAAATTGGATTATATGTTATTGAGGACTGAAGTTATCTGGGTTCTATTAATGAGGTAAACTAATTATGTCTTAATTTAAATATAGATGACATGTGACCAAAACTACACCAGATATAATCCTTCCATCGGAGCATGGACAGCTCCTTTCAGTAATGCAACCAATAACCAAAATGCATCTTCCTCGCTCATATATAGGAGCAATAGACCTGCCACAAATCCCATTCCCTACAATCAAGATAACTTCAATATTAACAAGTGGTAGAGAAAGTAGTAGTCCAAGATGACTTGCACCAAAATAAAATACAAACCTGCACATATCCAACCTCTCGGTCAAATACAGAGTATGCTTTCAGAACATTATAAAGGGATCTTTGACCCGGTCCATGTCTTTTCTGGAAGAAAACATGTGAAGGAAATGTTCTAGAGATGTCTCTAATAATATCTAGCTCAGAAGAAGATGTCTCGTATATAACTAGTTGCTGCATTGAAAAACAGAATGATCAGCTCAATGAAATAGAATGTAGAGTTCTGAAGTAACACAATTCATCAGTAAATAAACAACCAAATTTATACAAAGATTTATACATCCAAATTGATTCTTAGATTCCTTAAATACATGGCAAGCGTCCAATTCCTTCAATGTACCACCCAATTTAATATGCAATGGAAGGATAAGAGAAAATGTTACGATTTTGAAAAATAATAAAAAAGAACCCCTTTGAAACTTCCCTTCTTAAATTAAAGCAAACACTAACAAAAAGTTCATATGTGGAAAATATGTTAAAAAAGGCAGCTCTGCTTGGAAATTGATGATCTCAAGATTGACTGCATAAAGTTGAAGTCCTCTGGTGCGTTCAGTGCAACTCGATGAGGACAATAGCTAGGTCTTCTGCATATAGAATGAATACAGGCAACTTAACAATTTGATTTCATCCCTTCTTATCTGAACTGTCGAAACACTTACAGAGGACGATATTTCACCAGTGTCAGAGGAAAAGTAAATTAAACCCACATTGATTAAATAAAATGAGAGAAAATCAAGAATATAAGATCCATAGAGAAAATTTTATTGCTCCATGTTATTGTCAAGAATCAGAGCCCACTCAGTTAATAAAAAGGCATGTTCAGCAATGTCACATCCAATCCGGTGGGCTTGGTATTGTAAAACACAGATGAACTCTAAACCAACTTATGTAATCATTTGGAGGATTCTTTATTCGCATAGTTATGTCCAATTCAAGATAATTTTACTCCTGTGGATAACCAAAATAATCAAGAATATATTGTTGCACACATGCTAGGGTTTTTGACTTGCAGATTAAAAATATATTACCTCATAGACACCTGGATTCATAAGCAAGAGGTCCCGACTTCCAGAGATTAACTGCCAAACTAGACCCCTTAGACAATCGGGAATTCCTTTCCTTATTCTCCTTTTAACAACATGAGGTTTCCTCCGAAGATAGTGCTTCCAATCACTTCCTCCAACTCCAATCATTTTTCTCCATTTTCTAATTCTTCTTTCCTCCCTATATTGCAAATTGATGTGATAGGATTACAACGAGAAGAAAGCATCCATCTTTAACAAAAAGAGATTATGTTGAGATAATCTCAAACTTTTGTACTGTCAAGAAAATGCAGTGAATAAGATGCTTGTGATAAAGCAAATGTAACAGAGTATTTTTTGGAATAGAATATACTCATTTTAACATATTTTATAATGTACATTTCTTACACTTCTTCATTCTTTCTTTTTCTTTTCAGAGCATACACTAATAAACATACGATTCTTAGTCTAACCAACCACATTGTCAGAACTCAGATGCAATAACACATAACCGAATAGCTGTGTTTGCTTGGAAGTTTTGGCATACCATTTATGAACCTTTTTTAGAGTACCGATTTTGAGTGTTTATGAGCGGATCGACTTTGAGTGGTTTTAGTAGCAATTTTTAAAATTGTCCAAACTTTACTCGAGAATTTATCATCCACTGGTTCTAAAAGTTTTTTAAAAGAATAAAATTATACATATATCCCTTGGTAAAATTTTCAGTTTATAGTTTCTCAAAAAAATTTTACTCATAAATTACATATTACTTATGGGTAATTTTTTTACATATAAGTTAATATTTAACATAAAAATTAAATAAAGTTAAATAATTACTTAAAATTTTAAGTTAATACTTTTTACTTGTAAATAAATTTTACAATTATAAGTTAATTTATACTTTTAAATAATTTTAAGTTAATTTTTTTACTTATAAGTAACTTTTATAATTTATACTTACAAATAAATTTTACAATTATAAGTTAATTTGTACTTTTAAATAATTTTAAGTGAATTTATTTACTTATAAGTGAATTTTTGTCTTATTAGTAATATTTTTGTTTTATAAACAATTTTATTCTTTTTTTACATAAAAGTGATTTTTTATTTATAAGTAATTTTTTAATTATAATGTAATTTTTCTTATCTTATAAATAATATTTTTCTTATAACTATTTTTTTTACAAATTAGTTTTGAAGAAAATATGTTGGTTGAAAAAAATTATTTTTCAAATGATAAAATTAGAAGAGAATATGAGAAACAACCAAAATCCACCAATTTGGTGGATTGAAAGAACCGAACAAAATTACACTACTCCAGTTTTGTGTGATTTTAAACCATCCAAAATCGATGGCAAAATCGATGGCCAAAAAAACTAGCGAGCACCGATTTTTCCAAACCCTCGTAAATGGTGCCACTCAAAACCGGTCAAAACTTGCAAAAAATAAAAAATCCTAAAACAGACCCTAAAGTTTTTTGTAGATTCACATCACATGACGTGTTTTGCTTGGGTACATAACCTATTAGAAGAATGTAATAAGAATTATGAAAATAAGCTAATCCTATCAAACATTCTGAAGACAGCTTTAATCCTAAAGATTCAGAAAGAAAGACTATATTTGCACCTCAAGCAAAAACATCAAACAAGAATGAGGGCACAATAACACGGTGAATAACCACAAAATATTCAGGGTACCAAAAAAGGCATGGCTAAGTTGGCAGCATAACATTACAAAGCATCATCAAAATTCAAAACCATTGCTAAAAGCTTATTATGAAGACAGCGTTTGGAAAATCTCTTCTAGAGTGTGCATAAATTTTATGCATACCTCTCATACTCGAAGGCCGATCTACTCCTTGTTAAACCATCAGCAGAGTTAGCTTCCGGTTTTACAAATCCAAATCTATCAACTTTAGGAAGTGCAACGGATCCTGCCTCATGTTCATCCACTTTTTTCTTGTCCATCACACTGCTCAGTAAAATTCCAACCTAACAGTTACTAATTTTGTGCAAAATTCCAATGCATTCTCCAGTTCCGACATCAAATACGGCAGATTCTCCTACTCGCTGAATTAAAAACAAGAATTCACCCTTATCAATGAAACTAGATAGCTCAACTAATTCCACATGGCTCAAACTAATTCAATAACTCAAAATATTTGTACATTTGTAAATAGTAAGTACGCAAAATGCAAAGCTGACGCATGATAACGACAAGGAAATAATAACGGCTGTTGCGAATGTGATTCAAATAACGCAAGAAGAAAATAGAAAATGTAAAAATTACATAAACACGAACAATGTGATTATATAAAAGGAAGTTCTTAATTCATGGCACAAAAGACAACATAAACCAATAAAATAAACAACATGAAATGCGATTATTCTCTTCATATGAACATTCACATATTCACAAAACATCATCTAATAAAAAAAAAAATTAATAAATATAAAGAGAGAGAAAACAATTAACCCGACATTTATCAATAGAATTACAAGAGAATTATGAGGGATCGGCCTTTTCTTTTTCTGATCTTTTGCCGTAAATCTCGCCGAAGAATTTTTTTAATTCCAATAATTATTCTGGAAAGCACGAAGGGGGGATCGAAAATTTGGGTGCCGCGAGAGCTTTGTTCAATGGATAAGTTACGACGTCGTTGTCCTGCTTGCGGCTCTGAGGAAACTCCAGCCAATTTTAAGGCAAAATGTTTACCTTTACTTTTAGGGAGAATTGCACCAAGATCCCAAATCTTTCATTTAGCCCCCGTTTGGTCCCATTAATTTCATTACATTACAATTCATTTTTCTTTCTTCTATTTTCAATCACACAATCTTCCATAAAATAATATTACATGTAAATCGAAAAAAATTCTTCTTTTTCAATCACTCATTTTTCAAAAAAAATACTATTCCACCCATTTTCACTTCTAGAAAATGGGGGCCAAACGAGAGCTTAGTAGCAAGTTTGATTCGAACTTTTCATTTGTACCATTCAGAATGCCGAACCTTTCAAAACTTTACACCTGGAGTCCACGTGGATGAAAACCATCCATTTGATTGTTAGTTAACCATGAAAAATGTTGACCTCTTTTGATTAATGTAGAAGGGGTAAAATGGTATTTTTATATTATTTCCCATGAAATAATATTATGATAATTAAAGGCATTTAGGCACCGTGCTGAAAATAAAAGATAAGGCGAGGATGCACTGAGTTTCCTCATGAGGGTTCCACCTCCTCCACTCATTTTCACTATCGCTATAATATAAAATAGCCTAACTTTGGACACTATTCATGCTGAACACGTATCGAAATCTCCTTTCGTCAACCCTAACAACATCGTTTTTAGGATATTCCCATGTCTTTCCATTCAACATCTCCATTTTCACACGCAATCTCAATTGGTCGACAAAATTGATCCGTCTCACAACCACACTTACCGAAGTAAGCCGCCTCATCGGAAAACCTGGGCTTTCAGCATCGGAGTTCACTTAAGGATAGAAGTTGGATTAACATCTAGGAAAAGGAACGGTTGCTCAAAGACACCTTTACTCAGATGGAAGTTTGACGAAGATAAGAACAACGATGCTTCTACTAAAGAGGAGAAATTGTCAACTAAAGTTCGTTGAAAAAGTGGCACGTATATGTAATAGAATTGATACATACCTCATAAGTCAAAATCAAAATATGAAAAATGAGTTAATTGTTCCAGTGGTTACTGAATTTAGGTCCATATCTTTGATTGGACACTGAACCTTGAAATGTCGAGTTTTAATCATTGAACTTAGGTTCGTATCTTTGGTTGGTCACTAAATTTTAAAATGTCGAGTTTTGGCCACTGAACTTTGAAAAATGTTGAGTTTTGGTCACTGAATTTAGGTCTATATCTTCGATTGCTCACTGAAATTTAAAATTTCGAATTTTAACTACTGAATTTTGAAAAATGTTGTACATTACTCCCTGAATTTTGAAAAATATTATACATTACTCACTGAACTTTGAAAAATGTTGTACATTATTCACTGTAAATTTGATATTTTTCAAAATTCAACATTTATGTTAGTGAGTAACGTACGGCATATTTCAGAATTCAGTGGCGAAAACTCAACATTTTAAATTTCAGTGAACAATCAAAAACATTGATTTAAGTTCAATGATCAAAACTCGACATTTTTCAAAGTTCACTAGCCAAAACACGACATTTCAAAGTTCAGTGACCAATCAAAGACATGGACCTAAGTTTAATGACCAAAATTCGACGTTTTTTAAAATTCAGTGATCAAAACTCAGTATTTTAAAGTTCAATGGCCAATCAAAGACATGAAGCTAAGTACCATTGGAACAATTAAATCATGAAAAGTTTGTTTCCTTAAATAAATAAAAAAAGAGGTTGAACCCCAACCGTGAGGTCCCCCACCGTCCCGCCTCTAGAGTTTTGTGAGGAAGGCAAATCGCAGGATGTGCCCCAACAGGTTAGGGAACAAGAGCTGTCTGTACACTGCGCCTACAAGGAGTCCAATTCCATGTTTCAGGAATCGAACCCTCACACTGCGACTGCCAGAAAAGCGTGAGATAACCTCACTCCTGTCTTTTGCACCACTAGGCTATGTCGCGGGGGGGCAAACTTTGTGAGGGAGGTAAATCGCGGGATGTGCCCCAGCAGCCCATGAAACAAGTGTCGCCTGTATAAAATTAAACAAGCTCACTTCTTTAAATCATGAAAAGTTTGTTTCCTTCTTTCTTCCTCAGGTGGATATTAGTAACTATATAAAATTAAATGAGCTCGCTTCTTTTTCTTTTTTAACAAATTGTTAGGGAAAGTTGGAAACTTATTTTTCCCCTTTGTTCTTGATCGAGAGAAGATCTCATTGGAACTATTTATAAATGGGGTTGTTGCCAAAACCCTAGCTCCTAAACCCATCTCCACTTCTCATTTTTCTTCTCCAGTTAAAAACTTCCCTCTCGCTACTTCAAGGTATAGGTCACATGTATTTGCATATATGTCTTCCATTATAAATTTTAGTTATTCACTTGGAATAATTGTGTGGTTCATTTGTTGAATAAACCTATAGCTCAAGTGGCAAAGGTCGAGATTTAGGGGTTCTTTTAAAATTGACCTAGTCGAATGTCCTTATTTTCACTTTGACTTTTAAAAACTTGAATATTATCACATTAACCTCTTGAATGGTAAAAGATTTGAATACCCTTAAATATATTATGTAATTACAAAATATTGAATAGTTTAAAAGACATTATTACCCTTTTAGTTAATAATTGAAAATCAAACACTTCTCCACTTATAAAACTGCAGAACGAGTTTCAAACACAGAAAAACTCTCATTTTTCATCTGCTTGAACCTCAAAATATCAAAAAATTTCAAACGCCGAAACCAGAATTTTTTTCAGATCAATTACTTCAAATCGGTAAGTATATTTTTACACATGCTTACTTTCGATTTCAGTAAATTAGTGTACGTTTGAGTAGTTAAATAACACAGTAATTAGTAGAATTTTTTTCAACAGATATATAATTTATTTCTTTAGAACCATAGAAAAATAAAATGTCATACGCAAAATAATTAGTTCGGCGATTAACTGTGGGATGATAACGAAAACTGTTAGATCGCAGACAGTTGACTGTCAAAAGATTGTCTAACAACTGACTGTCGAATGTTAGACGACTGTCTAACAGTTGACTTAGATAGTCGGTTGTTAGACAGCCGACAACCGACTGTTGGCTGTAAAACAGTCCACAGTCGACTATTTTACGATTTTTTTATTATTAATTTCTGTTTGGCAATTGTCTTATAATTTTAATTACAAGTTGGTTAAATATCTGAATTTTTGTTGTTGTAATTGATTTAAAAATTCTATATCGTTATGCATATCTGATAATCCTGATCTGTTATTTCGGTGATTTCGAACTGAATGAAAATAATAGATGGGAATAGAGATGGACGAGTGATGTATGTAGTTGTATTACAATTTTCGTAACAGAGAGTACATCATACGCGGAAGTGTACCAGAATTTACAAAATAAGCTGAATGCTAATTCTTCTTAGTATGATATGCAACTGAGATATTTATTCAATGGTTATGGGGATTCGTCAATTCCGATGCCACCTATATTTATTACTAATGATGCTGAATTGAATTATCTCTTAGAATTAAATAAAATGCATAGGACTCTAACTGTTCTTGGTGTGACTTTAGTTAAGAATGATGTTGTCGAATGTGAACGCGAAGATTCAAATGGAGCAAGTAATAATAATCGAGATTTTTGGGAGACAGTGGAGATAGTTCTTGCAGATGATGTGGTTATTCCCGAGATAGTTGCTGCTGATCGTAAAATCACTGTTACGCACAGAATTTCGTCGACAGTTGAGGACAATGAAAATATAAATGAATTTACAAATGAAAATTTAATTGTTTTATCCCGACAGAGACCTGAGTGAGGTGGGAGCTCAAGGGGTGGAACAAGTGGACCGTCCTCCAATTCTTCGTGGCTCCCGATGATGACGATTTGTATGTCGAGCAACTATTTGAAATCAAGAAAAATTTGCAGAAAGTTGTGTACCTGATGGCATTAAAATATAACTTTGAGTTCAAGGTAAAAAAATCAACCAAGTCATTGTTGACAGTTGCCTGCGTTGACGACAATTGCAATTGGTGCTTGAGAGCGACTAAGATGGACATGAATAAGTGCTTTGTAGTTCGCAAATATGCATGGGAACATACTTACGAAGTGGGAATTTGTCGAAATGATCACAGGCAAGCTCGAGCATGATTTATTGGTCGATAAATAATGTACAAGTATTAGGACCCACGGACGATCTATAGACCTTCGAACATCATTAACGACATTTGTCGAGAGTATGGAGTGATCATGAGTTACTAGAAAGTCTGGAAGGCTAAAGAATGTGCGTTGGAGAATTTATGGGATCGATTGAGGAGAGCTATGCTAAATTGTCCAGGTATTGTCAAAACATGGGGACAACTAATCCTGGCATGACATTTTTTATTGAGACGGGGAGCGGTAATTGTTTTAAGTATTTCTTCATGGTTTTCAGACGATGTATTCGAGATTTTCGAAATGCAATGTGACAAGTAATTATAGTTGATAGTACAACTCTGAAAGCTAAATACGAGGCAAATTAATTATTGCTACATGTCAAGACGCCAATATCCAAATTTATCTTATTGCATTCGGCATAGTCGACAGTGAGAATGATCTATCCATGCGTTGGTTCTTTTTGAAACAAAGGAAAGTGGTCGGGGAAGTCGAAGACCTTGCCTTTGTAACCTATCGGGGACAGTCTATAATAAATGGTATCGCTGAAATTTTTTCCGAGGCACATTACGGGTATTGCATGTACCATGTACAAGGTAATTTGAAGAATAGGTATCGGGGCAAAGATATCGTTTCATTGTTCAGGAGAGCAGTCGAAACTTACAGTACTGAAGAGTGTAATAAGTTAATGTTCGAGATAGGAAGTAAATCATTATCGACGTTGGAGTATCTGACGAACATGGGGATTAATCATTGGGCGCGGTCATACTTTCTAGGACGTCAATACAACACGATGACGTCGAATAACGCGGAGTCTCTCAATGCATTGTTTAAGAAGGATCGAGAGTTACCAATTCTCGCAATGATTAAGAATATTCGTAACAAACTACAA